TTGTGTGTGTGTGAACCCGCTCTTCTACAAGGACACTTCACATGAAAGTGTTGATGTCCACTTTCTGCCATTAGCAATCCATTTACAGGTGTTATTGCTGCCCTGAGGTTCATCTGAGACATGCTGTTATTATCTGAACATGGAAACAGAAGATCATCAATAGATGCATCATTTCCACCAAACCCGTGAGGGGAAAACAATGTCTAATAATAGCGGATGGAAATAGTAAATGGTCACAGATCAAAACAAGTTTGAGGCAGAGTTTTGAGCTAATAGATTCACCGTAGTCTACCGAGATGTGATGTTTGTGCAATGATACCATTTGGTGTTTTTATTATTTATTTATTTTTAAATAACATGTTAAACAACATCTTGAGTTATACTGAAGCCTGCACATTATCAACTGTACTTTGCTGGATGTTGTTGTCACTATGTTTATAGGCTTTGTTTTTCCTTAGTTAAAATTTAAATGGTGACCTTTGTAAGATTTAAAATAGTTTTTTTTAAGTATACTTAAAATATTAATCATGATTTACCAAAACACACATTTAAAGGGATAGTTCACCCAAACCTTAAATCATTTGCTCACCATCATGTCCTTCCGTAAGACTTTCGTTCATCTTTGTAACACAAATGAAGGTTTTTTTTAATGGAATCTGAAAGATTCTGTTCCTCCTTTGAAAGTCTGCACAACCGAAACTTTGACTTTTCAAAAAGTTCATAAAGACATTGTAAAAGTAATTTGCATTCATGCATAGAGCTCATCAAATATTACAAACAGAAGTTCAAATGTGCTTACTTGAAGTGCGAGAACCAATGAGGTTTGTTCATGCATGCCACACAAGTACATTTGAACTTCCATTTACCATATTTGATGTGCTATATGTATGCATGTTGATCAGTGTTTATATGTAAATAAAAGCCTAAATTAAAGCTGTTTGTCATATAAAGCAATTGTGTCTCTTCAGAACACATGGGTTAAATCGCTCAATTCAAGTACTTCTGTAATGTCTTTGTGTAACCTCAAAGTTTTGGTTGCACGGACTTTCAAAGGAGGGACTGAAATCTCTCAAGTTTCATTAAAATATCTTCATCATTTTGGGGGGGACTAACCCTTTAATTTAGTTTTACACAACCATTTTTGTCTCTGAGCATCAAAATTAAATAAGCTGTTTTTGATACTGTATACCTTTAAAGGAATAGTTCCCCCAAAAATGAAAATTCTGCCATCATTTACTCACCCTCATGTTGTTCCAAATCTGTATAAGTTTCTTTATTCTGCTAAACGCAGAAGAAAATATTTTTACGAATGTGGGTAACCAAACATTAGACGATACCCATAGTATGGACAAAAATACTATGGAAGTCAATGGCTACCATCAACTGTTTGGTTACCAACCTTCTTCAAAATATCTTCTTTTGTGCTCAACAGAAGAAAGACACTCATACAGGTTTGGAACAACATGTGGGTGAGTAAACAATGAAAGAATATACATTTTTGGGTGAACTACCCCTTTCACTTACATAATAAGGTACCAAACCAAAAACCAGAAAGAAATCTAATAGGAATTTACTTTCATACAATGCAGCTGGTGTGTATTAGAGTCGAGCCTGGAGGAAACCTTAAAACACCTGTTAGCAGTGGAAAAAGGGATGTGGAGAACATGATTACTTATAAAAAATCTAAAAATATGGATGTCCAGACATCACAGGGGGTCATCCAGGGGTCATTGCTCTTCCAGTGGTGAAAAAATAAAGGTTGAACAGTGCGGCCCGTGACCATAACGGCCCGTCTCAGCCCGACCCACCATCTGTCCAGAAGTGATGCAAGGCTTCTATTAATAACACAGACAGAATGCGGTGTGCGCAAGCCAGGGCATAAGGAAGCCATTATGCTGAAGATTTAATGGTGCGGGGATTTAAGGCCTGCAACTCCTCACCAACCTTTCCTGTGAAAGGTAACGGGAGGCTGGCATAATACTTGCATAAAATATTCATATCATATGTGAAAAGGACATTTACATGTCTTAAAGGCACAGTTGTAAAAAAGGCCAGGGTCAGATAGAGGCTGGAAAATGGTTGTGTAAAACTAAATTATGACTGTTCTTGGTGCATAAAACCTAGACATTAATCTAACATTATAAGTGTACCTCAGGGAATTAAATGAACTGATTTTACCTTTTTCAGAACCGAACAGTGTGAACATTCCTGTCTCATTTTTGTAGGGCAACACAGTGCTGCATCTGGACCTGGTCACCGGCTCTGTGAGGAGACTGGTCCTGTCTCAGGACAAACAAGAGGAACCACCACGCAAGACCTCAAACTGGTGGAGCAACAAAGAGAGTCAGGTGGAAATCTTCATCTAGATCAGTCATTCTTAACCAGGGGGCCTCGGCAAACTAATATAATATTATTTGAATTCACACCTTTATCAACTGTTATTGTGGACAGACAAAAAGGTTGAGAACCACTGCTCTAGAAAAACACATATGTGACCCTGGACCACAAAAGCAGTCTTAAGTCGCTGGGGTATATTTGTAGCAATAGCCAAAAATACATTGTATGGGTCAAAATTATAGATTTTTCTTTTATGCCAAAAATCATTAGTATATTAAGTAAAGATCATGTTCCATGAAGATATTTAGTAAATTTCCTACCGTAAATATATCAAAACGTAATTTTTGATTAGTAATATGCATTGCTAAGAACTTAATTTGGACAACTTTAAAGGCTCAATATTTAGATTTTTTTGCACCCTCAGATTCCAGATTTTCAAATAGTTGTATCTCGGGCAAATATTGTCCTCCTATCCTAACAAACCATACATCAATGGAAAGCTTATTTATTCATTCAATTTTGAAAAATTGACACTTAAGACTGGTTTTGTGGTCCAGGGTCACGTATTGAATGTATAATTTCTGCAGTGTTCCCAGCCATCTCCCTATAACCAGGTGTGATGCAATTTAGTTTCAAGATCTGAGATTAATTATCCATTGTCACTTTCAATATGGCATGTTTTTTTTTTTTTTAAGACAATACTTAAATAATTTAACAACACATTAACAGTTCTCTGATGTTGGTTAATGGTCACATGATAGTAAACAATAGGTAAACAAAATGTATCTTTTTGAGTAAGGATTAATTTTGATGTATTTTAAAGTTGTAGTTATTTTTACACTTATTTTGCATTATTCTAATTATGCAATAAACCATAAACCCTAGTTTGGGAAACCCTGCATTATGGGTTACTATTGAAATCACACAGGATGATATTCAAACTCAAATTAAACACTTTTAAGATTATACAAAGCATATAATCAGTACCTCAGATTATTATTATCACTGGACACACAGTTTGTAAGTTTTTGTTCCCAGCTGTGATGTTGCAGAAATATAAACCATTCCAAAACTAGAATCCCTGTAGTTCGTCATGTATCACCATTGTGGCTGGTTTGGACAAAAACTCTGACTAACATGGAAATGATACCATTTATGGTGTCTTTGCTAGCATCACTTCTGGTAAGGACACAGTGTAAAATCAAACAATCACGTCTAATAATCTTAAACTTAATATTTTTTGTTGACATTAGCCAGTATACAAAATGTGCAAGGTGTTTGCCCACAAGAACTGGCTTCTCTTCTACAAAGAAAACGGGTAGGTTACTGTCCATTAATCATTTGTGTACTTGCCACTCTTATGCTCTGTTCTGAAACCTAGTGAGCTGCCTATATCGGTAGCATTTTTAATTTTCAAAGCAAAGCATCTCTTGTCCAAATTTTAAGACAACATGCATATTTCCTTACAATTCCAGGATGCACTTCAACAAAAACCTGCATAAGATGTCTGATGAAGTGATCAAATTAAAAAGCACAGACAAGACAAGTCTAATTACAAAAACACAATTTTGTATGCTATGAATGTTGAGGCTTTAGCTTAGAAAAATGCTGACAAGTCCGCCATAAGCTTCAGCCTTGTGATAAGAGTCAGTTGCATACTTTAAAAATTCCAGAGCAAACGGCCTTCTAGAAATCTCATCATGTCCGAATGCGAAAGTCTGTGACTTCACTATTCTCAAAACCGAACGATGATTAAAAGTTATTGTTACAGTTATTGTCCTTGGTGTGAACAGGCCTTTAGTCCCATCTGAATCGGTACATAAAATCACAGACATTGCAGACGAGTTACAGACATACTGTAGCACTGTAACTCAAACATCATTTAGAAAACTAGTCCCGTCCGAATAGGTCTCAGTGCTCTCCAAATCATTTAGTTATGAGTGTTAGTGCCAAAAAAGACAATTCTGTCATTATTACCTATGTGAATTACTTTTATAATGTCTTTATGTACTTTTTGAAGCTTGAATATTTTGGTTGTGTGAACGATCAATAGATGGACAAAATAATTCATTACATTTTTATATAGCGCTTTTCTAGGCACTCAAAGCGCTTTACATTGTCAGGGGGTATCTCCTCATCCACCACCAGT